CGCATCAATGAGAAGGTCTGCCCCCCCTGCACCACCACCGTATGCTGTTATAATTTCACTCGCAGCCTTTCTGACACCCTGTTGTTACTTTGACTGCTGCAGGCGGAGGTCACTAACGCCCGTGTCCAGGATGCTGACAAGAGAGCCAACAACCTGCTGAAGTAGAGGGAGGGGCATTGCCCCGCTCCTCATTATCGCCTAATGAGACCCAGCCCCCTGCTCAGCTTCCCCAACCCGGAAGAGAAACCTAGCAGGGGACCTAGCCACCAGAGTGCCGGTGTTCACACGAGATTGGAGGCACTGTGGTCACATCACTTCATAAAGTTGTACATTCTGTTAGTTACGGGGGTAGCGATGCTTTCAGACCAACGGTGGGTAGAGTTACTGAGTGTGGCCAATAGGCTCCTGGCTTATGACCTAGTAAGGTACCTGATTGGATGTTAGTCAGGCCACTTAATGATAAGACATCAGTCTCACCCACTGTTGTTCTTCAGGTTTCTTTCACCTATTACATGTCATTTCTAAAAGTGAATGTGCTCCAGTCTTGGCACTTTCTAATGTCCCTTGTGTTTTTCTTTTTGCTAGTATCGATCACAAAGTGAAACTGATAATATAGTTCAGCTTATAAGTAACACTCATAGATTTGAAACATATTTTTGATTATTGCAGTGTTAACGCAGCTCTGTTTCAACTTTGTGTTTGTATGTTGTTTTTAAGATCCCTTTCATTATTTTCCAGTTCTGTCCTATTTATACTTGTTGATTGCTTATCATTTGGTATTTTTAGTACCAGATGGACAATCTGTTCAATGCAGTTACCTCTGACCACAGTAGGCATTGATCACTTATGCTGTATTTCCTGCTCACTTTAATAAAGTAACCTTTAAATGTTTATACACTTATGCTAAATTAAACTTGACATTCGCTTGTTCTGTAATGAACCGTATTTTTACGTGAATTTTGTGGTTGAATTTGGTTTGTTGCAGTGTGTTTCCACTTTACAATGAATGGTATGAACTGTACCTTCAAGACACTTAACGGGGAGAGTGTATGGAAATAATTTTTAATAGTCGCTTTGTGTCACTCAGATGTATTATCTTTACACGTATTAAATGTTTTCACTTACTTTGAGGTGGGTTGCAGGGACATTACCATCCAATACTGGCATATTTAGATATTGAGATATTTAAAGGATATCTGTACTTATTTCTTTTATAGCTTTGAAGTGTAAAGTATTTTTTTTTGGTGCCCGTTTGTACTTTTTAAGGTCCTTGATTTCTCATATATGTATATGGATTAAACTGAATACAAAACCATTTTGCAATGGAAATTAACACCTGTGCATCTTTATTTAAGCCTGCTCTCCAGTCGCCTGGTTACCCCTTTGAAGTAAGTGATTACCTATGTAGGATCACACACACGCATACACCAGGGCTGAGATTCCAGGTTGCCTGAGATGAGGCACAGCCTGGTATGAGAGATACTCGTCGGCCAAGGCACAAAAGGGGGGTTAGTGACCCCAAGCTCACATAAGGGAGGCCAGCATTCTAACTTCTATGGCTCAAAGATTTAGGGACCTACAGACAACAGAATGGACCTCAAAGATAGGGGCCCCTCAACTTGGCATGCAACCCCCACCCCCCACTTTCAATCGCGCCTTACAATCCACAGACACCCAGTACCTTGAAGAGTTCACTCAAGTTTGGCTTGTGTATACCTTGTATATGTGTTTACTTAATATTGCTAGTCTTGACATCCATATAGGTTATGTTTGTTTGTGTCCTTAGACAGTCTTAGTGTTTTGTCTGCCACGCTTCTAATCGTGTTTCACAGAGTATCACCTTTCTCACTTGAACCATTATATAGAAATGGATAAATATATATATTTAGCTACCCCTGCATACATGCTCTCATGGTTATCCCAGAGGAATCGTGAAAGTTAAATAATGTAACAAGGTATCTTACTGGGTCTCCTGTCAGAGGTATTTTCTTTCTTTGTTTAACAACTCCCATTTTTGCAATCCTCTGTTGGCCCTTATCTGATCTCTGTGGCCTGTTAGCACTTCTTTGTCTTCTACTATTCTGTGTTAAAAGACTGAATCAATGTGGATATTATCTAACCTGGGGAGCAAATCATTGGAATAAGCCACACCAACCATAATATGTAATTTCCAGATGTTTAATTGAAATTGGGATTACAACAAACCAGTGACCACACCTATCTAGGGGTAAGATGTGCTGTTTGGATGTGAATATGTGATGTAATGTCTTAACTTACCCAATGGCAACATCTGGTGATGTGCAACACTAACCACCTACACTATATATGGAGGTGAGTCATTAACATGCACAATGTAAGAAGTTAATTAATTAATACAGATTATATGAGGTGTGAACCTCCAGGTTGGTATGGCATGTTTGGTGTCAAACTGATGGAAAATTGCTCCTGAACTCAAATCTGGTCAGTGCTAATCATAAAATTGTATGTATAAAACATTACATGCGTTTAATGAAAATCAGCCTAGTCGTAGATCCCAAAAGGACTGTCACAGACACCCCTCCGAAAGCCCGCCAACTACATGGCCAGCAATTGGCTCAGGTGTCGGGTTCCTGGTCATCCCTATTCATAAACTTTAGACCATTAAACCTGGCGCCTTAGATTCAGAGTAGGAGCCCTCCAGAAAACCACCAAAAAAATGCCAGAACACTGCGAAGCGCAGTAGAGAAGCCCTTCCTGAAGCCTGCCAGTGAAGGCCTGCTACCCAAAAGAGAACTGCAACCCCAAGACAAAGCCTTTCACCTCAAAGCTTCACAAGGAGAGAAAAATCCAAGGGGCTCCACTCCAACAACCGCTCCAAACGCCGCGCCTTCCTGAGTGCCACCATACCCTCAGCTCATCACCTCTGCAACCTACTGCCAAGATCCCCTCCAACCAAGTAAACTAACTTCCATTCATTTTAACAACCTAGCCTGTTGATTAATTTGCTTTTTAACTTAAGGTCGTGTTTTCACAAACTGAGCTTGCTTTGCAGAACAGTATTTCTCTTTTAAGGTTACCCATTTAAATCTGGGCACTGCATTTTCATATTACATTCTGATTTGTTCTATTCTGTTATTTTGCGTTTGTTGTTTATGTTAAGTGTATTGGCCCTCAGGCTAGTATAGTGCTAGAAATAAATGCAAGCCTTTTTATACAACTTCAGCCTCTGTTTATTGAGTGCTCACAATAGTCACTGCCTCTGTGCGAACTGGCTACTAAGCTCTATGGAAACTTCTAAAATACTATTTTCAGTTACTATCCAATCAACATATGGGAACTTATACCACTGAACCTCACCCTACATGTTCATGGGGTCAGCAGGAATATCCAGGGGCATAGCCAAAAATTCATGGACCATGAATTTCAGACATGAAATTTATGGATCCCTGTAAAATACTGCCCCCTTCCAGAATCTGCCAGGGTGTCCATGCCCCTACTGCACCCCCAGATAAAGAAAACCAGTGGCTCAATACTTCCCTGTACAAATTCAGCTGGGTAAAGGAGTTTAATCATTTCCTAAATGGCATGTACAATGCAAATGGACAATGTTATATCACAAACCATACAGTTGCCATTTAAATATTCATTCAGGGGTATCCATTCACTCTGCAAGTGTAAACTGCTTATGCATTTTTTGTAACTTTACCCAAGATGTGTGCTTGAGTCTTTGTTCTACACTGAACAAAAATATAAACGCAACACTTGTTTTTGCTCCCATTTTTCATGAGCTGAACTGTTGCAGGGCAACACATCTCCGTCGCATAGAGTTGATCAGGTTGTTGATTGTAGCCTGTGGAATGTTGGTCCACTCCTCTTCAATAGCTGTGTGAAGTTGCTGAATATTGGCAGGAACTGGAACACGCTGTCGTATACGCCGATCCAGAGCATCCCAAACATGCTCAATGGGTGACATGTCTGGTGAGTATGCTGGCCATGCAAGAACTGGGATGTTTTCAGCTTCCAGGAATTGTGTACAGATCCTTGCAATATGGGGCCGTGCGTTATCATGCTGCAACATGAGGTGATGGTTATGGATGAATGGCACAACAATGGGCCTCAGGATCTCGTCACGGTACCTCTGTGCATTCAAAATGCCATCAATAAAATGCACCTGTGTTCGTTGTCCATAACATACGCCTGCCCATACCAGAACCCCACCGCCACCATGGGCCACTCGATCCACAGCGTTGACATCAGCAAATCGCTCACTCACACAACGCCACACACGATGTCTGCCATCTGCCCTAAACAGTGAAAACCGGGACTCATCTGTGAACAGAACGCCTCTCCAACGTGCCAAATGCCATCGAATGTGAGTGTTTGCCCACTCAAGTCGGTTACGATGATGAACTGCAGTCAGGTCCAGACCCCGATGAGGACGACGAGCATGCAGATGAGCTTCTCTGAGACGGTTTCTGACATTTTGTGCAGAAATTCTTTGGTTATGCAAACCAATTGTTGCTGCAGCTGTCCGGGTGGCTGGTCTCAGGCGATCCTGGAGGTGAACATGCTGGATGTGAAGGTCCTGGGCTGGTGTGGTTACATGTGGTCTGCGGTTGTGAGGCCGGTTGGATGTACTGCCAAATTCTCTGAAACGCTTTTGGAGACGGCTTAAGGTAGAGAAATGAACATTCATTTCATGGACAACAGCTCTGGTAGACATTCCTGCAGTCAGCATGCCAATTGCACGCTCCCTCAAAGGTTGCGACATCTGTGGCATTGTGCTGTTTGATCAAACTGCACATTTCAGGGAGGCCTTTTATTGTGGGCAGTCTAAGGCACACCTGTGCAATATTGATGCTGTCTAATCAGCACCTTGACATGCCACACCTGTGAGATTTAGACAGATTTGTGAACAATATTTGAGATAAATGGGTCTTTTGTGTATGTAGAAAAATTTTCCTATGTTTGAGTTCAGCTCATGAAAAATGGGAGAAAAAAACAAGAGTATTGCGTTTATATTTTTGTTCAGTGTATAATGGTTGGTTCCTATGTCCTACATCCTAATGGCACACAAGATCAGAGCTGAGTCCATTATCTTCTAAAACAGGGGTGCGCTCTGTCTTGGGTCATCCGGCAGAACACTGATGGAGTCTTCGGCCTTACCACACAGGAGACACAACATGGTATATTCCTGGAGATCATAATCAGAAAAGAAAAAGAATTACACAGAGCAACATGGAAGCACTGTGTTTTGCATGTACAAAGCATTCAATTGTATTGAATACTACTGATTTCAGCTGATTTGTTAAAAATCCTTGCCTCCTGGAGGACAGAAAAAATAAGGAGGGGGGCTTCACCTGATAATCATCCACGACGGAGAATGTGTACTCGTGCCTGGCTATGATGTGGTCACAATTTTTGCACACATCTATACAAGAAAAACATTTCAAAGGAGGTACCAAATACCATGTTTAGTGTACCTAAATGACAGGTAACAGTCACCTACGGTCATATGTGACAATCTCCTCTCCATCCTCATCCTCTGTGGCCTTGTTGCTGATCAGCACAAAGTCACGCTGGTGGCACTTGGCACAGCCGACGTAGTTCATCAGGTACGAGCCATCTTCCAGACATGTGTTTCCCTGAAAAAGCACAAAGTCTTAGCAAACAGCAGGCTACATTAGTGAAAGTAAAGGTTGATTGTTTACAGCAGATAACTTGTACAGATATTCCTTTCCATTATACACATGGTCTTCTGGTGAAATAGACGTCAACCATATAATGAGCACGTTAATTATGTTGCGAACTTGTGCCTGATTTGGCCATTATTCTGCAGGGTTCTCAACTTTAGTCAGCTGGCTGGAATAAGATTTTTAAATCGAGATTATTCTCACGAATTTACATTTATGTAAAAGTTTTATTACCTTGTAAATAGTCTATAAGGTTTGCAAACTAACCCAACCCCGCTTTTGACGTAGCTAATTTTTGGGTTATAATGGAATAATATAGATTTGCCGTAAGATTTCTTGAGTTTGAAAGGGTGAGGGTCACGCCAGATGTGTTAGAGCTGGCAAGCCTGATTCTGCCGAAAGATGTTTCAACGTCTCATCAGCTGCACAACAATTATAAACTCATAAAAACAATTCACCCGTCCCTGAGAAGTCCTAATATCGCTACTATAAAGATGAGGTATTTCCACCAAGTTCAAATGAAGGGAACACCAAATCAAGCTAAATAAGGCAACATATGAAACATCGCTTAACGACCTCTGGGGTGAGTTTCCCGAAGCGTTCTTAACGCTACATCGTTCTTAAGTTCTGTGTAAAAGATAGAACTAACGAACGACGTAGCGTAGGCTTCGGGAAACTCACCCCTGGACGGTTGATAAGAAAGCCACATTTAAAGGCCAAGAAAGGGATTAAATAAATATTGAACAGAATACGTACGTAACATAATTAAATTGCTATGGAAAAAAGATTATACGAATAAACAAAGCTATAAACAGAAGTGGCTAAATAATGTTTACACGTGCTTCCTTAACATACGTAATTCCCAGGCGCCAACTTAATACCTTTTTCCTGAGTGCAGCTACTTAGGCTTGGGTGGAACTATTTGGACAACGTACAGTATTCCCTCTAATGAAATGACGCATATTCTCATAAGATACCCAACCGTGAGGATACCTTAACGTGGGTGTTCCGTTTGATCACCGGTTCGATCGAGCAAGCAGATTGCTCATACAGTACTATAGAAATTCCATTTTACTCACCACATAGCTGGTTGTTTCTTTACACGTGTAATGAATACGGAATATACAGCATCCGTAAGAGTTTCAAAGTCTCAGGCACGCGTATGCTTTCGCATGGGTGACTACGTACCTGCTTGACGAGCCTCTTCCTTAAACTGCACGCATATTTTTAGCAGTGATCAAAAGACTTACCCTATCAGGATACTCTTTCTGTACGCAGTCGGTGCACATTATTCTCCCGTTTCCTGCGTTATTATAAAAAGCAAATAGTACAACAATACCCTGAGTGGTTATTACAACGATCCAAATAAAAATATAACCAAGCAGTGCACTTCCGCCAAAGTGGCCTTGGTCACGTTGTGATTCCAGTCCAGTAGACCGAGGCTGCAAAAAAAGCGATGCATGTTGCGCAGCTGCCAGTATCAGTCAGCTCTCATGAGCATGTTATCATTTTTAACATATTTGACTAAATTTGTTATAACCCAATTGCTATAGTTATGAATTTTTCCCTTGATAAACATGATATAGCTACAGTTCATGCAATTTAACCTATGGCTGAGTGTGTTATTTAACTTAAATACACATAAATTCACAAGGTTATGGTAAAATGCATGCCCTGACTAATAAAATCGTACTTTCAGATAATAACTGTGAACACGCCTGAGATATTGGTGGTTAATGTAATTAGCGAAATATTTAACCCGCTAAAAGAAATAATATTGAAGACGACTACATCAGTTTTTCTGAAAAAAATGGACGTGTTTTACACGTCATCATAATGCGACGTGATTGCCTGTGACGTCATACGGGATGAGGAGAAACCAAACTGTACCGTCTACGGACATGGTGTATATTGGACGCACGTGTAGTGTAAGGGGATTGGAACTGTAAACAGGCTATACCAGGAAAATAAGTATGATATCCTGTTAGTACAATGTGCAGAACTTCGCAAAATCTACTACGGCGCGTTTTTAAGAAACATAAATATACTTAAGACAACATCAAACAGCGAAGGCATGCTTGTTACTAGCAAGCTGATTTGGCTCCCTGTGCATCTGTCTTAAAACACATGTAAGTGGTTCGTATAAACTTTTAAAGTAAGCTGTACCCGTGTTTTCTGTTATGGGGGTTGCTATTGTGCATGTTCTCTGACAGACCCTGTAATGATACGAAAGTTAAAGCTATACAATTAATGCGCCAACAGTTGCGAAGGTCGTTGGGCGGTGAAGTTTACATTTTGCTAATAAAAGGGCTGAATAAAGCTATTTTTATGCCGATGTAGCGTGTAGTAAATATGAATATTACGTATCACTTATTTACTATTATAAAATGCAACCTGGCACACAAATGTTGGTTGAAGTATCTCCCTCAAAAATACAGATAGCGATGGATTAAGTACGGCAATGTTTTGTCACAATTTTTCAGGCTTTTCAACAAATACGTTACCTGGATTTTTTAAAATCAGCCTCATCAGACTTTTAGTTTTGATATTTAGTAAATATTTTTAATTACGGATAAATTTTTCTGGCGTGATTTCCATGGCTGCTGTAGCAGTACCACACGTCAAGTGTAATGTTTGTGTTGTTGTTTCTGTGTACGTGAAGATGTGAATTACTATATTGATACCAAGATAACATTTAATGCTTTTGAGGTATGGTGTAGTGATTCGGCCCTAACAATGATGATAATGTCTTTGGAAATGGAACTAAGAGAAGTGAGGGGGTTACATGCATATTTACTGCCTCGATCTCATCAGCAGGATTTGAAAGCTGTCCGTAATGTTTTATTTCCTTGTAGTCCATAACGTAAATTTGGTGGGAAATCCAATGGTCAAACCACAGTTAACGATTTGCCAATATTTTTTTCATATTCATTAAAATCTTTTTGAAGTGCTCTTAAAAATTATTTATATAAAGGAACTCAAAAAAGAACAAATATGCTCTTTGGATGTATGATCATGTAGATGGATACCGGAGTACCCATCATATGCCACAGATATGCTACAGCCAGGAACATTTTTTTTATTTATGTATTTTTTATTAATCAGATTTTTCTGTGAATCTCCTTCCAGTGATGGCCTGATGCTCCACCTCAGTGGCCGACATGGGGAGAGAGAGGAGATGCATCCTGTGTCATACGACACACAACACAAAGCAGGTGAGCTTCCACACCCAGAGCCTGGGATGCTGTGTACGGCGAGGTGTCCTGCTCCCCAGCCAATGAGAGGAGGGGATGTCTGTACTCCAAGCACGTACTGCTAGATCCTGTTCTAGTCATTGTGTTCCCCACCCAGCATTAACACTGGCTTTGTGCCCCCTCTTTCCAGGAGATGGAGGAGCACTTGCGGAGCATGCTGCACCACCGCGAGCTGGAGAACATTAAGGGCCGGTGAGAGACAATCCTGCGAGGTTCCTCTGCAAGCTCCTCCCTCTATCCGCAGTAGGGTGACCACCTAATCCATGTCAGGAGAGACATTATTGGCTAGGGCAGGGTCTGTGAACTTCCGTTTCAGCCATTTTAATTAAAAGGACCCGGATTTCACTTAAGCACTGAGTTCTTGCTGTGTGCTGATTGGTCAGTCTCATATAATCATGCATGTGTCATTAATGTTAATGTGAAACAGCTGGATGAGTCTTTCAATCAAGGAAACGAACTAGTAAAAACACAAGAACCAAACAATTTGACCAAATTGTGAAACCTGAAGTAGCTCAGATGTCCCTCCTGATGTGGATCAGGTGGTCACACTAATCCACAGGGACCTGTTACGATTAAAAGATGCCTGTTGTCGGATTTATTTGCACCACAAATAACAGCTGACTCTCGCTGGACGTTGCCAGCTTTGGGAATGTGCAGTCAGGGCTCTTTAGTTGCTGCATTTGACAGCCCCAATGTTGGCCTCCTCCACAGGGACTGTAACCACGAGTGTCGGGTTTGCCAGATTTCGGTGGTGGGCCTGACGGGCTACGCCAGTCACATCTCCAGCTCCTTGCATAAGTTTCGGGTGGCACAGCAGGAGCAGGGCGAGGGACCCAAATCGGATGAGGAGTACTTCGACGCAGAGCTGGAGCACCTCGAGAAACAGCGCAGGTGGGGTTACGTCATGGCGTGCGCTGCTTCGGGTGTCCGCTCACACTTGGTACGATAAACACCCTGCTCTGTGGCTCACTCTGTCTCAGACTGTACCAGTCTATCCAGCAACTCAAACCCAAGCAGGACCATTGACCTGGTCCACCAGCAGAAGGTTACTAGTGGTAAATTGCTAAATTTTAACTAATTACAGTTATTTCAAGCTCACTGACAAGATATTTTTCTTACTTTTCTTCAGAATTCTTTGTTTAGCCAACACTAAGTAAGTTTTTCAAGTGATTTGCCATCTAAGGTAAAAATAATGATGTTCTTTATGGCAGGGGTTTCCAACTCCAGTCTTGGAAAGCTACTATCCAGTAGGTTTTCTATCCTACTTGGCTTCTGATGAGCCGCACCTGCTCCTGGTATTTACCTGAGAACTAGTAGAAAACCTACTGGAAGGTAGTTCTCCAGGACTGGAGTTGGAGACCCCTGCTTTATGGAGTCTTGCGTCCTTATGGCCTGTGAGCAATCAGTTGTATACTATCATAGGAGCATAACTGGCATGGCAAAATGATTTACACATAGCAGTATCAAAAACGTGGAACAGCACGAATAAGTCAAAATAAAAGCGCAGAATCCTGCGTCCCAGTCAGAATCACATAGAGCAGTGTTTCTCATCCGGTCGTCAGGGTCCCCTAGACGGTCTATGTTTCTGCTACCTCCCATCTCCCAGTGGACTTTCTGGAGACCAGAAAGAGACCAGTTTGAGAAATGCTGACAGAGAGTATGGATCTCAGAGTAGTTGTGTTGTACTGGCCAGTCAGGCCTCCTCTCTGGGATCACATCTGACCTCCTCCTCTCCCATCAGAAAAGAACAGGAGGCAGCCGCCCAATCGGAGGAGAACAGGCGACAGAAGCAGCTGTTCTGGTCGGAGAGGGCCCCCGCGTTCCAGCACTTCAGGGGGCCACATAGAGGGGGCTACCCCATGTTCCACCCAATGCAGATGGGCTGTGGCACACCCCGCTGGCAATTGCGACCATTTCCTCCTCAAAGGGGCGCCCATGGCACACACCATGATGGAGGGGCCCCTCAAGGGTCGGGGAACAGGCACCCCAGCCAGGAATTCCCCCCAGGCGGGATGCCAGGCTTCCCAAATTGGCCAGCACGGGGTTTCGGGCATAGGGGTACACAAAGAGGGAAAAAGTGGCAACACCAAAGCTACACATTCAGTCCAAGTGGACAGGTCTTTGGGTCATACCCTGGCAAACAGCACAGGCCGTGGGGCAACATGAACTCGACAGAGATGAACATCGACTTCACCAACAATCAGCTGCCCATGTCGTGCAGCTTCCAGCTCAACACCAAGGAAAGGATGTTAGAAGGCTACCGGCGCCCCGATGGGAGGCAGCAGGCTCAGCCAACGTCCGGGACAGAGAAACTCCCCAAGTTTGGCCAAAGCAGGGGTAGGGCCAACAGCTGTGGGTCCTTTGGCCGGTCCCCACATGAGCAGGACAAACAGCTTCAGGAAATAATGTGGAAGGCCAGGAAGGCTCTTCGGGACGATGGGGGAACGGGAGATGTCTTAACCCCCAAGCCACACACAGGGGGGCACCACTGGACCGTGCAGCCCAGTACGAAAAGCAATCCTAGTACATCTGCGGGTTTGAAGAGCATGGGGACCCAACCGGACGAGGCTGGCCAGCATCCGCAAAATAGCGTTCAGTCTCAGACATCCAGCGGGGACACCAAACCAACATCTCCCCACGCCTCATCCGTGCAGTCAGTCCAGATAAGTACCTCCACCAGCGAGGCTTCCCAAGAGGCTGTTCCTGTGGCACCGGAAGGAGGGGTGGAGGGGCTGAGCATGGAAGCGGGGGAGGGGAAGGCCCAGGAGGCAGAAACATCAGAGGCAGCCGTCGAGCAAGGGGTAAGAGAGCCCACGACGGACGAGGGGCCCAGCTCTGACAGCGACGCACTGAAGGACGCCCCCACAACACCTGCCGCGCCCCGTGTGCCCAGCCTGAGCAAGCTGGACCTGCCCGCGTCCCTCAAACGAGACCTGTCTCGTCACATGAGCAAGGCGGGGATCCACGAGCCTAACCTGAACATCGCACGCCGGATCCGCAACATCGACGGCCAGCGGAGGCCTATGGCTGAGAAGGATTCGGGCCTGAAGCCCACCCTGAGGCAGCTGATCAGCTCCTCGGGCTCCCGGCGCAGCGTCAACTGGGACCAGGTGTACCAGGAAGTCAGCAAGAAGAAGCAGGGCCAGGGGAGGGGCATGCCCAGGTGAGAGCTATCCATTGTTTGCAGAAATGATGTAGCCTTTGGTTAATGCACTTCGCTTGGTATACGCAGGGTCAAGGTGGGCAATCACCCTCATACCGATGGCGCGATACTTCATGTCAGCTGGGCCGTCTTGAGCATATTCTGCAGAAGCGGCCATATTTGTCTATGTCATTTCCAAGTTGTTGGTTCCCATATTTACTGTTGACATATTGATGTATCTGCTACTCCCTTTGCTGTTTTTAATGCACCATTTTATGTGAGCTTTGCGGTGCTGTTTGTTCAGTCTGTGGCCCATAATCACTTGTCTGATTGTTTGGTGCATTTCGCATTGGAAACAGCGTAAGTGTTTGTAAACAAAGATGTCTGCCTTTCACCTTTTAGGTTTGGAATTGAGATGGTGGCTCCGGTGACTTCTGACCTGGAAGTTCACAGCCTGGAGAAGCCTCCTCTGTCAGAGGGCTTTCACTGGGAGGCATTGGACGAGCCGCACGCTGCTGTCCCTGGGCCTTCATCTCGGAAACGCAGCCTGTCGGAGAGTAACGTGGCGAGTGGCGACAGGGCCCTCGATTTTCCACTGGCCACGGGCGGCGTCCCGAGGGAAGCTCCCAGGAAGAGCCTCCATTTGAACTCTGGGGAACCCAGGACTGTGCCATGGGTCAATGGGAGCCCCCTACCCTCCACGCCTCAAGCAGAAGGCTGTCAGAAGGGAGACTCTCAACGGGGCGCCAGTCCAGTGGGCAACCCAGAGAACTCTGTGGAAGAGGATGCTGGGACCGTTTCGGGAACAGAGCAAGACAATTCCCATGGGGGAGGGACTGGCGGAAAGGTGGGCATCCGTAGAGTGCGAGCCCATGAACCTGAAGCGACCAAAGGCTCTGCGGTGTGTTCATGTTCCTGTTTCCTTTCTTTTTGGACAGGATGTAACATCGACAGTCTCAAAAAAGGTCACAAAGAAGAATAAAGTTAAAGGTGAGTCTGTTTTGCTCTTAAAGGCTGTTTACATATGCAATGTGCAACTATTATGGTGACTAAGCCTTGCTCGAAGTTATGTACTTAACAGGATTTTTTTTATTTTGCAAATATGGTTGGGAATGCTTCTTTATTTGGCATGTTGCCTCGCCGACATGTGACCTGAAAGTGGTCTGGTGCTGGGGCTGGCAGTCCATGTTGATGATGGATGTTTGTTTGTTTGTTTGTTTGTTGGTGCCATGGTACGGGGCCTCAGAGCGCACACCAGTGGGCGAGCTGCTGACGCTCTCCCTGCGGGAGGAGGAGCTCAACGGCTCCCTGCAGACCCTAGAAGACGGCCTAGTTCAGGCTCGCATGGCCCTGCAGGCTGCATACATGGAGGTGCAGCGCCTCCTGATGGTCAAGCAGCAGGTGAGGTGCCAGCAGTTTTCTGGGTCGCCGATATTAAGCGTCTCCCTGTCCCAGTCTGCCTCATCATTTAAGGAACTTCGTTATCATCCTATTTAAAAATTATGCCAGAGTGTATTATTCTTGTACCAGATTGCAGGGATTTCTGTAGTCTCTTCTGATTGGTTAATATTTAACCCTTGGAGCACAGTCATTTTGTAGAACAAGTAGAGCTGCTGTGGGTCTCATTTGATTGAAAGGCTCCTTCTGAGAGCATGTCCTTCCCCTGTAGTTTGTTTGTTGGGCGTGGCACACACTTTTTTTTCTCAGAGGCTTTCAGACCCACACTGGGTGGGATTAACATGCTGCAGACTGGTTTAACTGTTCCCAGTAATAACTTGACTAACCCAACAGGAACCCAGAAATGATCAGGCTCTGGTGGGTAACGTGCTAATCCCATTCATCGTCGATTTTGAGGTTCCTTTCACCTCCCACTACCTTAAAAATGTCTGGGTGTTTATTAAGCATGTCAATGTTATGACCTTTAAATGCTTCCAGATCACCACAGAAATGAACTCGCTGCGGGCGAAGCGCATTGAAATCCTGCAGGGCATGCAAGGTTGGTCCCACCAAAGTTTGTTCATAAAATGAGTGACAATGAACGAATTCTGTGGTCGTCTGTGACGGTGAGCGTACAGAGGGGATAACCGTGAAAGTCAGGATGGCAGTGAACGTTCAGTGGGGGTGACTGTGAGGGTACAGTGGGGGTGACTGTGAGCGTACAGTGGGGGTGACTGTGAGCGTACAGTGGGGGTGACCGTCATGCCTGGACTCCATGGCACTGTTACACACACAAACTTGTTTTTTTAATTGTTTACGAGATACCTGGCATTTGACTCCTACTTTTCCAACCTTGTTTTCTAGACAATTATGAGAATGGGGCCAGTCCTAATGGAACGGCAGAGGCCTCTGTGGCGCCCCCTGCTGATTCATCTGCTCTGCCCAGCCGGCCTCCTCTAGCTGCCCTCTCCCCGCCGTCTGTCTCCCTGTCCTCCGCGTCACCTGCGGCCAGCATGTTTGCCCTCAAAGGGCCCTCTTCCATCAAGCAAGAGTCCCTCTCTCCCAGCCACTCGAATCCGGACGCCATCGACAGCACAGCCCCGGGACTGTGTGACCCAGCACCCCCCCCTGCTGTCTCCTCTCCCCACATGGGTCCGAGCTCTCTGTCCCTTACATGGTAACATTTTAGCATCGCTGTGGTAAGTTTTTCGTCCTCTTTAATCACCATTGTTTTTCTGTTCCTCCCACCTGCAGAGCTCCCTGTACACGGTTCCTCTCCATCCACTAGTGTGTCGAGGGGGGGGCTTAGTGGTGCTGCTTATAGGGATTCTGCTGGGGAGCGGCTGGGTTCTCCTGGGATGCTCACCACCGAGGCCCAAGTGGAGGCGCGCTCTGACCAGGCTGCTGCGGCCCACGCTGAGTGTCCTGCTGCCGGAGGCTCTGGAAGTGGATCCCCGCCTCCCGGTTCTCTCCCCACCTCCTCTCCGGGCTCCAAGAAGAAGAAACTCCTGAAAAAGAAGAGGAGGAGGAGGAGGAGGAGGATGGTGGCGCAGTGTGAGAACCGCGCAGGGAGTACGGCGAGCGACACAGACCAGGAGATCCTCGAGCCCCCGAGCAAAACCAAGAGGAGGCCAAAGGAGCAGGAACAGGATGAGGAGGCAGGGAAACCGGGTCCCTCGGAGCTCCCTCTGGGAGGGGCCACCAGCGACTCCTCCTCCTCCCTGGCCATTGTGGATAACCCGGAAGCTCCTCCCTGCGAGGTCATCTCCCTCGACTCCTCTGAACAGGAGGAGGAGGAGCGCAAGGAGCCCGCCCCATCGCCCTCTGCTGCTCCCTTACCTCAGATCTTGAGGAAAGCCAAGCAGCGGAGACTGGCCTGCGATGAGGTCAGCTCCACCAGCGAGCTAGACCCTGGCATCAAAACGGAGACGCCCTGCAGGTCAGGCCCGGTCCCAGTGGGGCCCCCTTGTGGTTCAGTGACAGTGATGACTGTTTGCGTACATTTATGGCTCATCGCAAGTCATACGCACATAGACCGGCCGGCCTTCAGAGGGCGCAAACGCATCATCGGCAGTGTCACCGCCTCGGTTTGCAAGCAGGAAATCTCTCTCACCCCTGTCACTTCTGTCCCCACAGAAAAACCCGGTCATCTGCGGGGGGTGGCGAGCGCAGTTCGCAGTGTAAGTGCCTTACTGGCCCTGCCTCAGATTAAGGGCTGTTGAAATGCAGTGGCAGCTGTATGTATCAGCAGACCTCCATTCGGTTACATCACATTTTCGTACCATGTCACATCCTCCTCTTGTGGCATTTTATGCTCCAACTAGTAAATAATGCAAGAAAACCTTTCCACTTCCTTCTGAGATGCAGAAGTTAATTTTCGTCCGCTCTAGAGGACACCATGTTTTTGCTCATATCTCTCAGACTATACTTGCTGATTTCTTAAGTCCTGTTTTTCCTTAAAGAGGATGGTTAGGACCTTAAGATGATGTCACATGTGAGGTGTGATATTTGCCATTGCCATTAATGTGTTATTTGTGTGGATCTCAGAAGGATAGGGGAGAGTGCAAAGTCCTGCTTCTGTCTTTGTGTCACATGCCACGTATGAATGTATGTGTGTCTGCAGTCCATGTTTCCTTGGAGTCGGAGAGCAAGCAGGAGCCGTCTGAGGGCTCCTTCCAGGGCCATCAGGCGGCCGTCACTGGCTTGCAGATCCACGGGGGGTTCCTGTACACCTGCTCCGAGGACCAGACGGCGCGTGCCTTCAGCTTAGTGGTGGGTGTCGACCCGGCTTGGTCCAATCTCGGACCCGCCGCACAGTTCTTTGACCCGCACGGTTCCTGACGCGGGCGTGTCGCCTGTAGACTCGCCAGTGCACGGCCGTGTTCGAAGGCCACGGCGCCAAGGTCAACTGCTTGCTGGTGTCGTCCGGCCCGGGGATGCAGTCCTGCCTGTACACGGGTTCCAGTGACCACACCGTCCGCTGCTACAGTCTCAAGGTAGAGCCGTCGGCCCAGCACATGCCTGTCTGGCAGAACTGTGTGGATAATCGCTTTTTGAAGAGGAACGTTGTGTCTCTCGGCTTGAACGTCTTTGGTCCTATAGCTTGTGTATTCTCTCTTTTTCCTCTCTCTCCTCCCAATCTCCCACCGCCTCCCCTTCCTGTCCACAGAACAGGCAGTTCGTACAGCAGTTCTGCATGCTGGATCGGGTCTTGTGTCTGCATAGCCGCTGGAAGATTCTCTACGCGGGTCTGGCCAATGGCTCTGTGGTCAGCTTCAGTCTGAAGGTGAGCCCCGTTTCTGCTCTTCAGCTTTACGCCACCTACATTTTAATTGACTCTTGGATTTGGTGTGGGTGGTTGTGGGGCTCATGCCTGCCTTAAATAAAGGCCGAGGAGCAACTCAATAAATACTTATTAATAGATAAGAAACACAATGGGGGGCAACATGCAGTGCCAGCCCCTCCCTGTAAGCACAGGAGCTCACACGGGGCCCCCTCCCAATCCCAGAGGTCCCCCTGCTGACGCTGCTTAACCCCTGATCTGGCACAGGGCTCATATTCCCTCTTCTATAAACCTCTAAGAGTTTAATGGCAATTGTCACCCGCAGAAAAACCAGCAGCTGGATGTATTCGAGTGCCACGGGCCGCGTGCAGTGAGCTGCCTGGCGTCCACGCAGGAAGGGTCACGCCGCCTCCTGCTGGTGGGCTCCTACGACAGCACCATCAGCGTGCGGGACGCCAGGAACGGCCTGCTCCTGCGCACACTCAAGGGCCACACCAAGACAGTGCTCTGCATGAAGGTAGGTTCACCTCTTCTGCCTCTGCTCTGTGGCACCCCCTAGTGGAACATCTGACCCACACGTCTTCCTGCAGGTGGTGAACGACCTCGTCTTCAGCGGCTCCAGCGACCAGTCTGTCCATGCCCATAACATCCACGTGAGTGGCCTCGCCGCCTCCTCGGCGCCGCCCTGCTGGTCCTGTCCTCCGCTTACCTCATTCAGCTCTCCGTTTCTGTGTCTCTTTGTCTCCGCCCCCTCGGCCCCGAATTGTCGCTTGCAGACAGGGGAGCTGAATCGGATCTATAAGGGGCACAGCCACGCTGTTACTGTGGTAGCCATCCTGGGCAAGGTGATGGTAACTGCCTGTCTGGACAGGCTGCTGCGCGTCTACGAGCTACAGGTTGGTCCCCCATCCCGTGCCGTGGCCTCACTTTGCCCCCTCCCTCAGTGTGTTGCTGATGAAGCCTGCCTTTCTGCCCCCCTCCACCCCCCCCCCAGTCCCACGACCGGCTGCAGGTGTACGGTGGTCACGCAGACATGGTCATGTGCATGAGCATCCACAAGAGCATGGTGAGCAGAAATGGCCGCCTTCGGGCCTGGCGAGTTCCAGCGAGCGCTTAATGCGAGCAAATGTTCAAGATGGCCGGCTGGCGTTAACGCAGTCACTCTGTCTCCATGTCCGCGGCCCAGATTTATACCGGCTGCTACGATGGGAGTGTCCAGGCTATCAGGCTCAACCTGATGCAGAACTACCGCTGCTGGGTAAGGACACCCGCTTGGGCCAGTCGTCCCGAACGTGGCTGTCTGTAAGGCTGATTGGACAGTCAGCTAACGTGTCACGCCTCTACTTAAGCTGCGCAGTCGGTTAGCGGTTAGCAGTTAGCATGGCGATAGTCATTTTTAGGTCAAGTAAAGCTCTTATCTTCAACCCAGTCAGAGAAGCAGTGAAACTAGTAACGATCCTCCTGGACTCGTGGTGCCAAGTTCTTGACAGGACAGACATTACAGTGCCGAAGGCGGAGTCAGAATAATTTACGCGTGCAAAAAAATCCAGCACAGCTAGCAAAACTATTTCCTTCTTGAAGAATGCTAATTCCTGAGTCAGGGCCAAACTGGGTGGATTACAAAAATACCCTCCCTTCTACAGTGGCATGGCTGTTCGCTGATCTTTGGTGTGATGGCCCACCTGCAGCAGCACCTCCTCACGGACCACGCCAACCCCACTCTCCGGACCCTCAAGTGCCGCTGGCGGAGCTGCGAGGCCTTCTTCACCTCACGGAACGGCTCTAACCAGGTACGCGGCCCTCCCTCCCGTCGCCAGACGGCCGGGGACGGCGAGCAGCCAGCCGACCGATTCACAGCAGCGTGGCAACCTATCTAATAATAAACGTCAGAGCAAAAGTGCAAGAATTAGGCTCGAGTACCGAAACTCAGTGCCAGTGTGGTCATGAATCGGTATGTACCGGACCGTATTGCAACGCAGATTTCAAGGCCTCTTAAATGCCTGAGCTGTCGATTTGTTGTAGTAGTAGTAGTAGTAGTAGTAATAATAATAATCGATACTTTATTGATCCCCATGGGGAAATTGTCTTTATGCTTCCCTCAACTTGCTCTTGTAGAGTAAGCTTATTTACCCTTTAGTGCTCAGGCAACGGAAGCATCACTGCACCTCACGCGCCGTTGCAACTTAACATTACACCCGCTCTGATGTCAGCAAACGCCTAACGATAGTTAGTAGCTACCATAAACGCGGTTTAAAAGCCTAAATCTAAATGGTCTACGTGTGGCTGTATTTCATTCGAAAGGATTCAGACACCAGGACATTCAGCTAATATTTAAAGACGATTGTGTGTAAAGAGGGGAACACGTCAAATTTATTTATATTCATATTTGAGGTGTCAGGTTAATATACCAAGTTCGAACTTTGCCTTAGGAATATAAAGCCATTCTTTAATGTTGTTTATCTTTGTTTTTTGCCTTATTTTTTGTTCAGTGCCTGTTCAGGCACCATTTAGAAACACAATTTAAAAAATAACGCCTTAGCACCAGTATTGGAAACCTAAACGATGCACAATTCTAGTAAGAATACGTTGGTATCTAGAGGCTATACTCAGGGATGCACATCACTGGAATGGAAGGACACTTTTGCCATATAAAGCGATACATGTGGCAGTTTCTTGTGCGTTTGTTTACGCAGTTGCTGCAAGATGTATCATATCGCACACCCCACTTTATATGGGGAATATGTACTTCAGCACCAGTTATGTGTGTCTCTGGCTGTACTGGTACCTCCTGTTAGTGTTAGTGGTGGCTTAATGGTTAGGGAAGCGCACTTGTAATTGAAAGATTGCTGGTTCGAAATCCCGACCAGCAAGGCACCACTGAGGTACCCTGAGTGAGGTACCGCCCCCAAGCACTGCTCCCCGGGCACTGAATTAGCTGCCCCCTGCTATGTCACTTTGTCACATATATGCAGAGGACCCATTTCATTGTTGTGCACAGTGTGCTGTGGTGTCTCAACAATGACCACTGATCACTAAATTCTAATGCTGGGGTTTTTCTTAAAGCAGGGTCCCACAAAGAGCGCAGACCCCCATAGCTCTAATATGTGTGATTACTAAAGACTGGGGTGGGGGCTTCTTTAATAATTTTTTTTGGGGGGGGGTCCCTTAAATACTTTGTTTTGAAAATTGTGTGAATTTGTTGATTATACCATCATATGCCCCCCAGGTTGAGATGCCCTGGTTTACAGGATATTTGGCACACTGCCCCCATTCCCCTGTGTGTTCGGTGAGTGTGAGGCTGATGCTGCTCCTCTGTCCCAGCAGGACATCCCCCTGCACGTACAGAAACACGCCGAGGAGGACAGCAGCCCGGAGCCCTAGGCAGCTGAGGCGGCCTGATTGTCTGTAGTTGGCCTCCGCTGAAGTGAAACGATGTTGGGGTCAGACAGTCCCTCCCCCCCCCGAGGTCCTTACCCACGTGTCACCTGGGATGGTGACTTTATTTGTGAAGTCCTCTACCTTTTGCTTAGCTGCCAAAACTTTAGACTGACCCACCTCCCGAAGATGTCAACGGGATGCTTAACAAACTGGGGGGGGGGGTGTAAACTTGGAGGAGGTGCGGTCCCGTGCTGTATGGAGTTTCTGCGGGCTCTAGTCACTCAGGACCACCAAGCAAAGCATCAGCATCTGTTGGGCCACAACTGGGCTAAACATGGGGCATCCCCTGTTTGCTCATCTCAGACGCAAATCCCCATGTCGAGGGAAATAGGCCGCTTCCAAGAAAGGGGATGGATGCCTTTCGACATGGATTTTATCTTTTTTTTTTTCCTTCCCCTGGAAGTCTTTAAAGCAGCTACAGGAACAACAAAAAGCAGTTTGTCATGTGACCATTCTGCCTTATGCAGTACAGTATTTAAGAAAAAGATGGTGGAATGTTCCAGAGTCACGTATCGCTGCACTGATCACAGTCCTGTTTTTAGCTACTACTACTGGGCTGAAAATTTATTTTCAACACGTACTTTATGCGTATTTGATTTTGGATTCAAATTTTACCAGAGTAAGCCAGTGCGTGACGTGTTTTCACATGCTTTTAAATCCCGATTATGCTCCTGCTGAAAGGGCGCTCTCTATTGCAGACCTAGGTTGTATGAGTGTGTATGCACGTGCGACTGATTTGTTTTGTAGGGACAGAGTGAGATGTTTTTAAGTGGAAGTTTCAGAGCAGTGTGACATAATGGGGAATTGGCAACTAACAATACAGCAGTGAAAAGGATGCATTGAAACTTTAAAGTGGGGTTGGCTCAGAGTGCTGGGTGTTCACATAAACGTGTACGCTGCACTGCAGCTGGCCCCCCCTCCCGCCCTGCCGCCTCCATCCAGCCAGTTACCTTCGTATGAGTATTAAAAAACAGTCCATCTGAACCAGCCACAGCTGTGGTGTCTCTGTAGGGACTCCATTGTTGTGGTTACCGCTGATTGTGTTTTTCGTCCGTGGCGGAGAGGTGGCCCCTTCCCCCTGCTTTTGGGGCACACCTGCACCTTCTGTGGAGCCCATTGTTCTTGTCTATAAGCATTTTATAAGGAGCATGAGTGACAGACAAAAATAAATTTTTGAATAGTTTATTTTCAAATTGACATTCGCTGTGTTTCGTTGTATTTTTGCGTGTGCTCGAGCACCTTTTCAGTCGAATGAATCGACATGGCTTGGTGTTTATTGAGGAAGTTTGCGAGAGAACCTGAGATCGGTATTGTTTAAATTAACAGGCTTTCAAATAAAAATAAAAAGTGAAATGGCGTCCTTTAAAAGACTACAACATTGCTGTTCAAACGAGACAATTGCACAGTGTCAGTAAATGTCTCATTGTGGTACTCTAATTAGCAATTTATGTACTAAATATGGAACAGCCTAGTTTGATAGGATTTGAAGAAATTCAAACAAGTGTATCTTTAAAATGCAGCTTCAGTATTACACTACAAAAACATTCACACCATATGTATATAGAGAACTTTGGTTAATCCCCTCCCCCCAAAAGCCTAATTTGATTGCCTGCCGTGTGACCCTCCTCCTCTATATCTGCCCAATGAGGTGACACTAACACTTTCCAAACTATTTTTTGGATTGTGCCTAAGAATTCCATTGGTGCACTTTAGTTGAGATGAAAGACAAGTCCAACCTTTGAGGAATGAGCCTCTCTCTTTGAGTGATGGTGAAACGAGGAAGGGATTTGTGCTGCAAGTTAAAACCCTGGCTGTGTCTGGGCAAGGAGTGCCCAGTATGGTGAAAGAGAACTGCCTTTGTCCGTGAGGTATATTGACAGTGTGTGGGCAGGAAGCTGGCGGTCAGTGTTGGGTAGAGCCGAATTCCGTGGGGTGATGGCTGAGGTAACTTCTGGTGTGGTCGAGCCTTCGTATTTCAGTGTAGAGGAGGCCCTGCTTGGCGTTGAGGATTCCTCTAGGCGTACATGGTTAGCTGGAGCCACTGCACATGGGGAGACACACATACACACGTGTCAGCCCGGTCCTCAGGGGCCCCCAGCCCGGTCCTCAGGGGCCCCCAGCCCGGTCCTCAGGGGCCCCCAGCCCGGTCCTCAGGGGCCCCCAGCCCGGTCCTCAGGGGCCCCCAGCCAGCTCCCTGCCTGACAGTCCCCCGGGAGCTGGGAGGGAGCAAAAACGCTGACTATCTTGATCCTTAATATTCTTAATAATCTTAATAAATCTATTCACTCCCATTGCTGTACATATGTAAATCAGTTAAAGGTGAGTGGTTTTACCTCCAGGACGTTGAGCTTGATCAGACCGTCTCCATCTTTGTCAAAAGCATGGAAAGCCCCTGCAAAGGAAACCCCATGTGTCAGCCACCAGCTGCCTGGCTGGAATTTGGATGAGGGGTTATCACTGCCACCCCCCCCCCCCCCCCCCCCCCAAACATGCTGAATTCACTGGAGTTCATAACATATACATTCGTGTGCTGCTGTTCTCCCACATGTCCTGCATTATAAGATGATAACTTACTGAACATGCCCTCGAGCCGCACCAGGCAGCAGATATAGCTGTCAAAGTCAATCTTCATGTTGTCGTTGGCGTAGCGCATGGTGATGACGTCATATAGTTGATTGCTGAGATGGAAGCCTATGTAGGACATAAGGCACAAAAAATGTGAATGATAGTTCATTAGATTGCTAGCGATGATTTAAATGGACAACACCGGACAAATGGATTGTGAACTGGCAGTCTCTAACCTGCATCATTGACAGCGTTCCTCATGTCATAGCTGTTTATAGTGCCAGACTTGTCAAAGTCGTGCCGCTTGAAGATCCCCTGCATGTAGACCACATCATAGATGACCGCGGATACTAGTGTCCTTGACCGAACTGAGAATTTGTACCTAGAGAGCAGCTAGCATGTCAAGTTAAGCTAAGGGTGCCTAAATGCTACTATATACACCACCAGTCACAAGTTTTTGCACATCACATCACTTTTCCATTCATTTCATGAACTGCAGATTTTTTATTGTTAAACATTGGAAAGTTCAGTGAAGATGAATGAAATGAAAATATAAGTCAAATACAACAACATGGAAAGAGTATAAAACAGTGTATGTCTGACATCCTGTTAACTGGTTGTGTGGTGAGGGTATAGTCAAATTCTAGTATGTCCATTAACTTTTAATGCACTAGTTAACTGTTTCATCCCATGAAACAGAGCAGTATTTAAGGTCCCTTGTAGAAAAAATACCTCAAATTTTCTCTGCTGTTGTAACTGCTAGAGAATCAAAGATATTGACATCTTGCTAATAAAGGTACTCAAATGGTGAACATACTGTAAATTTATTTGTTAGCAAAGAATTCTCAGCATATTTTAGTAAATTAAATTAAGTGAGTAACACGCAAATGTAGAAAATCTGTCTGTGCAAAAGCTTTTGACTGGTAGCGTATGTATACATGAAGAAGTCTCTGCAATGTTAATCACTTCACCCACCTGCCACTGTTTGATCTTGTTCCACAGGTGTTTGAACTCATCAAAGTTTAGTTTGCCTGACCCATCTGTCTGTGCTAGTTAAAGAGGGTACTTGCCTCCCAACTGACTTCAAATGTTTATTTTATAAATGATCGGGATGACATGAGATTTTACTAACATTTAATAAGCTGTTTTGTCTTAGTCATTAGAAAGATCGAGCATATCCATGGAGATAATTACTAACTTTGTTGTTTATGTGTAATACACTGTAGGTAAGAAACAATTTACTGAGGACAGTATCCTTTTCAGGGTGTGTATGTGAGTACAGCAATGCTATTGTGGGCAGGATACATCCATGAGGGCAATCATACTCCTGCAACTCTCCAGGCAGAAGCCCATGGTCTTCAGCTCCTTGTCTGTTGGGGAGGGAGGAGAACAGAGAGAGGGGGGTGACATGGATAACAGGGGTAGTAGAAAGGGATGGGGCCGTCGGCTGTCCTGAAGAAGCAAGACCAAAGGTAAGAAGCACACTCACGTTTGCCAATGGCTTTGTTCAGGACATTCTTGAGCTCATTGGACGTGATCTCCATGTCCTGCAGTGAAGGACAACTCTGGGTTAGCTAGATGGTGAGCTGCAGGGTGTAGCTGACATCTTGTTCATGCGTACCTTCAGAAAACTGACCGCAAAAACATCGTGCATATTTGGCATCCATTTATGCAGTTCATATGAACGGAACTGCCAGTGTCCCAGGTGACTTGGTAGTACTCAATCCCACCAGTGCTCCCAGTACTCACATCCCCGGCGATCTGTTGGAAGATGCTGTGGAACTGCTTGTCCTCCTCGCACTCTGTGGTGGCTGGTGCTGGCTGTGAGATGGAGGGAAAGAGACCAGTCAGAAGGTTGTCCGGTATGAGGGCTGCCCTCGTCAGCCAGGGCTTAACGCATTCCAGTTTGCTGAGATGTTAAAGCAGAACCTGCAAACACCCATCATACACGTCATAACCCCAGGCTAGCAGAAGGCAAACTTTTTGTACTTGGCTAATTCTGCATTAGCAATATAAAGATGAAACTGTTGAAGAAAGCCTCTAGCAGTGTAAGAAATATTAAAATAGTATTAAACCTAGGCTGGGGGTGGCATTATTATCCCCAGTGAACCCAGGCTGACACCAGAGAAGCAGGATTAACTGGAGATCAGTGCGGCACCCAACACACTTGCCACCAGAGTTTGAGGATCCAGTGGTTGTAAATGCTCCATCAGTAATCTAATGCAGTGTTTCCTAATCCGGTCTACAGGGACCCAGAGACAGTCCATGATTTTACCAGGTGCTGGGAGGGAGCAAAGACGTGGACCGGCTAAGGGTTCCTGAGGACTGGATTGGGAAACACTGATCTAATGTATTAAGGCAATCATTCAGTCACAGACTGTATGGGAATACAGGACAGGAGGAGACTGGGAGGGAAATCCTACTGCAGGCTTGTCAACCTCCATTGTATTGAAAGCAGGATTCTCTGAATTACTGAGCTGGCACTTATTCATGGAAATTAGATGAGCTCAAAACAGCCATTTCATTACCGTTCCATACAGGACCTCCTCAAGGACCTTCAAATCCATGCAATGGCAGCAACAGCTGCTGTCTCGCCCAAACAAAAGTTAATTCAAAATCAACAAGACGAGAAGAAGACACATCAAATCCTTCACTGCAAGCCATGCATCCAGTGCTTGAAGGTGATACTGGAGCTGGGGTGGGGATGGTGGAGATGAAGGTGCCACCATAGTGGTCCAGATCACTGACCAGCACCAAACGTTGGCCCAAAACTATAATTGTGCCTCTTCTCTTTACATGTAGGTAGCTGGGGCTCCTACTAACCTTAGGTTTGACCTTTAAAAGCTGACACACTAAATGTGGATCGGTGGGGTCCTGTGATGGCAGGGGGTTGCATTTGACCCCTAAACTGGGACCCTTTCCCCACACCCTGCCTTCCATGCTTCACCTTCCCCACCCTCCTCAAAGAAAGGACAGCAACCTTTTTCACTTCCTCCTTTTTTTTCTTACTCTCCTCCTCATACTCCTCCTGCTCAATCTCCTTGTTGGCATTCGCTATGTCTGACACGAAAACGATGGGCTGCGCCGGATTGGGTCACAGTGGGAGCGGACAGCCACAGGGCCGTTCAAAGGGAGTGAAGACAGAGAGGAATTCTGGGTGAACCAACAGTCAACTAGACCGCCTGCACATTTTAACTCTGCTAGACTCACTATATAGTTAAACATAGAATGCATGCATTATCCAGACACCTGGGGAAGATCAGATAACATTTTTCGCTTCATTTATTCTAGGATGTATTATTATTCTGTTCTTTTTTTGCCAACCGTGTTAAACGCCACTTGGTCCTATACCCAGTGTTACATCCCAGTGTCACAAGCTGGAGTCGGTCCTAATGTTATTCTTGCTTTGTTGTAAAGCAAAGTAGATGGGATGAGAAGTATATCCCAGCATGCCTGAGGCTGTTACCTTCCGTTTCTTCTCTTTCTTCTCTGGCTGAGGATGCCAAGGAAAATAAAACAGAATTTAACAAGGGAGAGGGCACAGGGTGGTTACTGAACTGGCAATGACAGTGAATTTAATTGACTTTTGAAAGAGCCTGTTATCCATTGTCTGAAGGCTGCTGACGAGTGAGGGTTTGTGGGCAGGGGTGTTGTAAAGGGGGGGGGGGTGGAGTTAAGGCGATTCCAAGGGCCCCTGACTGACAGGGGCCTAAAAAAAACATAATTGGATTGATCTGGGTTGAAGGCCCAAAATCTCTAGCCGCACCCCAGCATTTTGAACGAGGAGGGCATGACTGGGGAGTTCAGAGACGGGTGGATGGGGGCAGGCTGTTGGAAAAAGGGAGGTACTCACCTCCGGCTTGTTGGCCTCGATCTGGTGCTCTATCTCCCTAAATAGAAACCAAGAAAGCGGTGGTTACCATGGCAGCACTGAAATAGTGAGTTACACTAGGAGTGAGCCCAACGAATTCAGCTCCGAACCCGAAAAAACAACACTCCCCTCTTCCCCACGTTTTTCTATAAATACACTGGCACATGGCCTTGGATTTTTGAGGTTCTCTGTGAGTTTTGAGACCTCTTGAGTCTACATAAATGATAACAATGTATGGAATTGCCATCATTGTAAGTTCAGAAGTTCAGTTTGATGAAGACAGGAGCGTTTTTTTGTCATCATAGCATCTTAGAGGGGCTTTAATGTAATGTCTCTGTGCTATTTATAACCTCCTGAGACCCCACCCATTCATTTATGTCCATTGCAGTGGACATTTTGTTTTTGCATCTATCTTTTCACTGATGTAAGGAAACATATTTATTCCTGTTGTAGACTAAAGAGGACATGCTGTGAAATTAAAAATAAAAATACATTTGAAAAAATCTAAATTGCAAGATGTCTTATTTCCTCCAAAGACAAATAACCTAAAATTGAAGGACACTTTTTTCCTTGGGTCTCAGGAGGATATTCTTATATTCTTGCTTATTGTTTCTTACTATTGAATAGTACCTTTCTGTGAAAATGAACATGGGATATTAACATGGTTCTGGATGTTGACCCCTCTATCCATGTGTAATCTTGCGCATTAAGTGTTGTGTAAAATCTGAGTGTTGAAACTGTTACACATGTACACTTTGACTGAGGGCGGCTTCTGTTAACGTGACCTTCTTGTGTTATTTTTGGTCAGGATTTCATTCCTCTTCCTCCTCATTGTGCTCTGTGCCCTCTAAACAGAACAAAAGGGGAAGCAGCCTATCGCACGCACAGATACTCTTGTGAAATGTTCTGCAGTTCTTCTTCTTGTGGGCTTCATAACACAAGAATTAGCATCATGCAGATACTGAAGGGACCTTACACAGCCCCGGTTCCGACCAGCAGAAACTGAGCCCTTTGAGTGTTCCTAGATGTGAGTTTTACAATGACTTGAGGTACTTTTACTTGCACAAAAATGTTCTGAGGGCAGGAGGAAAAATAAGAGAGATAACTAATCAGATGGTAGAGGAGTTGGGTCCAAGACATCTGATCCTGATCATCTTTACAATGATCACCATCATAGAGGTAACATGAGCCAAACTCTCACCATGCTTCATGGTCTGGGGAGTTGCTGTAATTGCTTTAGAGGGACATGACTGCAAATTCAGCAGCAGATAGGGTGATTTTCTTTTGTTGTTTTCCGACTCCCTTCTTGTTAAATCCTCTAAGGCGTTATATAAACATGCTTAGTCATAAAGAGGTGCAAGTCTTGTGATTACAAGGCAAGGAGCAACCAGGAAGATTATGTGTAATTTGTGCTCTCATAAATGAACACACACTAGAGATGTACATTTGGGTGGGGTGAAAAAATCAAAATTTCCAATAACAATTTCCAATAGTGCAGAAAAGTTGTCACTGGACCTCGTTATTAAACGTGCAAAATATCTTTGAAATAGGTTAATATTTTCGCAATGTAAAATTGTTTCAATTTAATACAAGAACCTAACAATCAGTCAGTGACAATGAGTACGTGGGAAACAACTCATTCAGAAATGTGGCGCTCAGGAGCATACTGGCAATATACACTATCCATTATCTATACCNGGCAATATACACTATCCATTATCTATACCGCTTTATCCATCTGGGTCTTACCAAAAATGTTGGGACACCCCTCCAAATCATTGAATTCAAGTGTCCCAATATTTTTAGTAATATAGTGTATCTAACCATTTTGACTGTCGTGCTTAATACTTTTAATTTTGGTGGCACTGAGGAGCAATTTTACATTGCGTTATGATATGGATGATACATAGCGTGGATCTGCGCATTGATGTGACAGGTGATTAATCGTTGATCGCGTTGCGGAAACTGAAAATATTAACCTATTTCAAAGATATTTTGCACGTTTAATAACGAGGTCCAGTGACAACT